TTTGAGTTAAAATCCTTATAGATGAACTTTCTGTTCCTTATACTCTTCATAAATGTAACTCTTTATTCTCTTTCTCTTGTCATTAATATAACCAAACTAGCTCTTCACTTTATTGGGCTATCTGTCTATCAATCCAAACAATTTATTACTTAATCTTTAATTCTCTTAATACTATTTTAAATACAACTATTCTTGATCTATCTGCCAATCTTATTTTTAATTTACATACTAAAATTCTCATACTTAATAGTTTCAAACTACACAACTTTTTATATATATTTTCTCTTCTTTTTATCCTAACTGGTTTAGTTCCTATTGATTTTATTTCTATTATCCACAATACTTCTATTTCTTATTATACTACTATTATTCTTTTTATCAAACTTTTTCTTTACTTAAACCAACAAATATACAAACAAATATGAATTCCATACTGTATTTTATGTTCTATACAGTCTTAAATTATACTTTTTACTAACTTAACTTATAATTATTCTTCTAGTCTACCTTTATCTTCTATTTCAATATTACAAATTATTACTAAAATTGATCTTTAGACTATCTAATAAATTAAATACTATACTCTTCTTGCTTATATTATTATTCAAATCCAATCAAGATGAGCCTTGATCACTATTATAGATTTAGGTTACAGATTATATATTTTAGTCTTTATTCTTTATATGTAATTTAAAAACAAGCTTTTCTTTTAAAAACTTCAATTAAATTTTAATAAAGTTAAAAGCATAGCCTTATCATTAATATTTAAAAAAAAATATCAATAATTTTTTTCGAATTAAATTATTTAATTTTTATTTATTTATTTTTTTTTGAATTTTGGTAACAATGCCAGTTGGTTTATTAGCTTTAATTTTGATATAGTACAAATTTATGGTTATATTTAGGATCAATTATTACTAGTACTATATACTATCTAATTTTACACTACTAACTTCATCTGGTTACCTATATGGCACCTAAGTGCATGTCTGCTGCATGCCTGCACACAGTTATCTTAACAACCACTTGTAGTCAGAGCATATCATTAAAATGTTACATAGACAAAGATATCTACTGAACTTAATACAATATCCCAAATGCCAGGATACTGTCTTCTATAAATCATACCCATAAGTTCCACTCATATGTTTTACCTAGTCTTGTTTCTTCTGCCTCTTAATCTAACTATATCTAGTATTGCTTTGTTCCCCATATTTCTCACCTTTTTGTTACTGTACTACTCCCAAATTGGTTCTATTCAGATATATTTGATCCTTATGATCTTCTCATCTTTGGTATACCTGTTATTGATTCCCTTAAGGTGGTCCAACAATGGTCTAGGATCTGTAAAGAACCCATATCTCAAGCCAGATCTGTTGCCGCCATTGGTCTTTTTGACCAATCCTTATCTCAAGCCAGGTCTGCTGCTCTATTTCTACAGATGTCTGAGGTCTTAACATCATACAGTAACTTGATAATGCATTTAACCTTCAACATAGTGCTCCCTTCTATAGTGGGGACTAAGACTTGTTATGCTTACAAACAGGACAATTCTAGTTATATCTAGAGAGTTCTTCTGATCCTAGTGATACCATACTACTATATATTGTAAGCTCTCAACTTATTCAATAATATCTGCAAGACAATTCTGGTTATGCTTCAGAGAGTTACTCTAACCTTATTGATGCCATACTACCTTGCATATCTTATCTCACATTGGTTAGTTGATCCCAGTCTTGTTTGTCATAGACTTCTATATAGATATGACCAGAAACCCAATTTGGTACTTTTATATTGCACAAGGAAGTTATACGCCAACCTCCAAGATTTTTCTCTTTTATAATTAGATTATTCAGTGGTGTCAAAGATGTTTCCAATTTTTGGTTAGACCAATTCTTTATCATAGTCCATTCTTGTATTCACTGCTTCTCTTACCATTCTAGTTATAGTTACTTCTAGAATACTTTCACAATCAAATCCTTTTTTTGAATCCTAATTAAGACTTATTTGCACAATCCATTGATTATCCTTCCAAACAAATACTCAACAAGTTGGGTGCAGGAATGTTGGTACTGCCTATATTAGGAGGTATAAAAATGTTAATGCTGCCCTAGCCTAAAGAACTTACATGTACAAGCTTTCTATAATCATAACCTTCTGTAACAACTGCTTGTTATGCATAATGTCTGCACTTTACGATTGGGTCTCCTTCCAGGAATTCCTATTTCCATCATTGTACTGCACTTGGACTTAACCACAGGGCTTCATATTTAATTACAGGCTTCTATATTAGGTTACAGAAACTAAAATCTTTCAATTTTGTCTCCAACCAGACTTGAACTATTGACCTTAACTGTAGAGGGTATAGAAGCTTAACCACTAAGCTATAGGACTCATGCCATAATTTTTATTTAGTTTGTTCTTGAAAAAAATTTAAATATATTAATATTTAATGTTAATTAATTTTTTATATATTGTTTATTTTTTAAAAAAAAATAAAAACAAATATATTTACTCAATTATTATTATAATAACAAATCTAAAGATACTTTTTTGTTTTATAAAATATTTGTAACTTTAAAGTTAGTAATAATCTTTATTAAAATTAATTTGAAAAAATTTAAACATTAATAAATAACTTAATAATATCTTTTATTAAATAAAAATATCTAAAATAGAATAAATTATTAAGTTAAACACATTAATATTTAAATTAGAAGCCAATTATGTACTTTGATTTAGTAACTATAGTATTCAAAATTAGTTTATTATATTTAATTATTTTTAATATATAAATTAAATCTAAATTAATTTTCTAAATTACCAAATTTTAAATAATAAATTATTCATAATATAATAGATAATCTTAAGCTCATTGTCTAAATTCTAAGTAAGAGATGCAATCAAAAATCAGCATAAATAATAGATTACTAAAGTAAATATATATATTTTAATCAATAAATTATAAATATTTACAACAACAAAGTCAAAACAATATTAATCATATTTAATAATATATCTACTAATTTGTATATTATAGTTATAATAATAATAATTAATAAGGATGTAGTCCCATAACCTAGTGGTCTAGATACCCCTCTTTCTACAGACAAGGTCAACAGTTCAATTCCAGATGAAGACAAAACTTTATAATCTATAAAAGTATATGAATATATATGAAGCTCTGTAACTTAAGTTTATTAGTTTATTTGAATAAAAGATCAGTATATAAGGAAGTTACCAGAAAGAAGTTTCTCAATATAGAAAGTTGATGTTTAATACAAGAGAAACAGTGACATATTAGAAATAAAGAGAAAACGTACTAATGGATGATATAGTGAACATAAAAGAAAACTATGAGAAAGAAATAGACTTATTAAAATTTGAACATTTTTGATATCAAACTAATTTAATAGATATAGATTATACTAAAATAGATAAAATCTAAGAGATAATCTTGGTAACATACTTAGTAAGTTTGCATCAAGGATAAATTTGAAGGATTATGAATACTTAGTAATATTCAATAAAATAGTACTTAAATATAAATAGTAATTAAATAACTCTAATCTGTTCTGTTATGATAATAATGATATACATTGCATATATATACAATAAGTATTGAAAATCAGAAAGTTTAAATAGAGAACTCATAAGTGAATCTCAAGTATGATATCTAGTGGTTAACCTATAGATGGAATTCTTAATTAAATAATGATTAAAGTTATACATGTGACTAGTTGTACTTTCATTAATATACTCTGTATATAATATGTAATCTTATGTTACTAATAATAAAAAGATACACAGGTAAGGTTGCCCTTGAAACTAAAAAAAAATATAGATATAATAATAATCAATAGACTTTAATTTAGTACAGTTGCAATTGGACTTTTTTAGGCTGTTAATATAAATATAAATGCATAAATGTTATTCAGAAGTACATAAGAAAAACTACATCAAATTGCATCAAACTAATTAAATTTGATACTTAATGCACTAGTGCAATCGATACACTGCAATCATTTCTAACCCCTTTAAGCAACTCAAGTGCCCATTGTTACATAAATGATTAATCCTTAAATTACGTGATGTTGCACAATCATAGTACAATACGCGTTAACGTAACGCAAATAGAAGCGTCAAATGCTAATTAATAATGAATGCGCAAAAAAGTGGCATGATTAAACATTAGTTATATTTGTCACATTAGATAATCGAACTCTCAAATTTTTCCATAACCCCAATTATTAAATGCGAATATGTTGGCACAAAGCAATTAAAAATTTTGCCACCATTTAGTCACATAGTATCGCTTTAAAAGGCATCATCGATCAAATTTGCGAACCAGAAATTATCCGTATTTACCTGTTTAGAAAGATTGCTGTAAGCCTTACTCTCCGTTCCTGGTATAATTAAGGTTTGGGTTTAGGGTAAGCATTGGGTTAGGATAAGAAGGTTTAAATATATATAAAATTTTGTGCTGAAACTTTAGCATAGAAGTCAAGGTATAGTTTTCATAATAGGATTTTTGAGCTATAATTTTTTGCTTTGTTTTGGTTACACGAGATTCTGACCAGGTGATATCAAAATTAGCAATAGTCTTTAAAATAATAAAATTTATTAAATTTAGATTTAATTTAATTTAATTAGAGTTTGATTTATTTAAATCTAAAATTAAATTTAACTAAATTAAATATAGATTTAAAGAATTTAAATTTAAATTTAAAAATAATTATTAATAAAATTAAATGTAAAAATTAAAAACTACAAATTAAAAATAATAACTATAAAAACTTAATTTTTATTTTCTGAAATTATAAAAACTATAGAAATTTTAAAATTTTGTCTCTAAAATATAATTTAGATCTAAAAGTTAAAAAATCTATAAATCAAATATTATTAAATTATAAAATTAAAAAATTAAATTCGAATTCTAAAAACTTGAAACCAAGCACCGGAGCAATGGAGCTAGTATATTGCTAATAACATTTCAAATTTTATGGCACAGGTACGCGCAACAAATTATTTGGAGAATGTTTATCAGCTCCTGCAACAGGGCTAAAATCTATAACATTTTTTGTTGACAAACTTTTCAATGCAGCGGCCATATCGGCAGGACTTTTGTTACCTTCTTTAGCAATAATAAGAGCAATTGTGCCAGAAACATGTGGAGTTGCTTGAGAAGTTCCCGAAATTATAAGAGTAGCATTATCATTGGCATTGCCAGCTGATTTAATGTTTACGCCTGGTGCAAAAATATCAACACACTTTCCAAAATTGGAGAACTCTGCGATACCATTCGTTTTGGTATCAGTAGGTTCAATGTCTACTGCACCGACAGTTATTGCTGATAGTTCGGATGATGGTGATGAATTACATGCATCATCGTGGTCGTTTCCTGCTGCAACTACTACATGAATTCCTGCATCTGTGAGCGCTTTTACTGCAGCATTCAGAGCAACTGTTTTTGGACCTCCAAGAGACATGCTAAAAAAAAAAAAATTCTAATTAACAATTATATTAGTCAAATAATTGATATCATAATTAATACATACCTGACTACAGTATATTTGTTTGTTGCATTTTGATGCCGTTCTAGAACAGATGTTAATCCAGATATAACATCTGTAACACTACCCTGGCCGTTATCGTCAAGAACTTTTATAGCAATAACGGTAGATTTCTTCGATACGCCAAAAGTTTTACCGGCCACAATTCCAGCAACTTGTGTTCCATGCCCATCTCCATCATCATCAGATTTACAACCATCACAAAAATGGCCCCCAGATTTAGCGCGTCCTTCAAATTCTTTGTGAGTCTTACGAATGCCACTATATATCAGAAAATCATTAATTCATTTATTCAAACATTAATGAATTTTATATTTAAACTACTTACGTATCCAATATAAAGACATTTACGCCTTGCCCTGCCGAATCAGGAAATGCAAATTTTTTATCTAAAGTAACTTTTGCTTGATCTATACGATCCAAACCTGGTTCTGGATTAGGTTGGATTGTACGTGGGACTACGTAATTAATTTTCATAATACCGTCTTTTTCCACAACAAGAGTACCATCTTTATTCTTAATTGTAATGGTTGCCATGTCCTCAGTAAACCAACCAGAATATCCGTAAAAACCATTAACAGAAAAATCCTTTACATAATTTGTGTCTTTAACTGATCTAATACTTTCTGTTGATATTCCAATATTTCTATTGTGACAATTATTTAACCATCCAAGTTGACTATTTTTATTCTCTACACTATTAACAATAATGTTATATAAAGCTCTTTGTTCATTTGAATTTATACTACTTTCACTATTTTCACATTTTGTTGTCGGATCAACTGCGGCAACCAAGGTGAACAAATAAGTTAATGCAGAAATATATATAAAATATTTTAGAGAACCCATTTTCTTTATTAAAAATAATATTAATTTCTAAGAAGGGAATGAAGGAAAGAAGAAAGGAAAGACAATAGATTAAAGAAAGGTAAGTAATGTTACACCCGAGCTATCCCTTATAGGTACGGGATAACTTTAGATGATAGTAAGTAGAGATGATAAGAATTGAATACCTCATGTACGTCTTGTACAGTATGTATATATTTTATGTCAAGAACTTGTATTGACGTTCAAGAGGATTTATAGTGATTTTCTATTATGAAAGAAGCAAACGGCTAAATGTATATGAAGATAAAATTAGACGTCCAACTATTTATTTAAACAAGTAGATATTGGATCGAGATTCCCTTCACAATACCACGTGATCACAATCGTTAATAAAAATAAATATGAAATAATAAAGAATATAGGGGAGACTCAAATTATTTGAAGTATGAAGGCAAGTTGTAGTCTAATCTTTACAACGGTAAAAATATTAGATCTTTTATCCATTTTTCAAAGATGGGGACCTTCAATACTGTGAACTTTTACGATTGATACTGCTCTAAATGAATTCATACAGCATATGGTGGAATAAAATACTATTACGGGTGCAATGATTTCCCGAGTTACTTTTGGTCATGAGCAACGTACTGTACGTGGAAATTTTGCCTATCATTTTATATGTAGTCCGTTTATCAAATCAAAATTAATGATTTTGCCATAAAATTCGTAATGCTAATCTATTTCTATTTTAAAAAAAAAATTTTTATAATAAATAGCAATAGGGAAATTCTATTCTGACTAGGGATGGCAACTGTCGGTCATGGTCTAGTACCCTAGCCATGGCGAAAACGAAGTGTCGGGTCATGTGATTTCCGAACTTTCGACCCGCGACCTACCCCGACATTGCAGGTTCATGCAGCCAATCAAAATGCTTAAGAAAAATTATCAGTAGTACAATAGTAAACTATATACACGCGCTCGAAAATTCTTGTACTATTATATGTATTGCTCATTTCAATAATGATAATGTTAGTTCAGGTCTATGAGCTTTTTCTTATAATTAACGTTAATGTTTAGTAAGTATAAATAAAAATTATGATTTGTAGGCAAAAAGATACTATGTTTAAATTTTTTTTTTTTTTTTTACAGAGATTCAAGATACTGAACGAGATTAAATAAATTAGCACAGGTAAATTTATCTTAACGATAGCTCTATTAATGATCTATTTATTATTTTTTCTTTTTAAAACTTATTAACTCACAAATAGATTGAGCGTTATACAAATATGTATGGTTGAAGAAAAATTATAAAGAAGGGAGAAAATATAACTTTTGAAAATTTTCTATGATTTTTTTAAACAATGAGAAAATACTAAAATCATTTTTAAGTGGTAGATCGCAGTTGAAGGGTATAACTTTTATAGTAAAAATCGTGGAAAATTACTATTACTTTCATATAATGTTGGAATAGGAGAAAATGCCAATAGCTCGTAATCTACCAAACCAATTTGAATAATTCTATTACTATTAGAACTTGAATGATTTGTTCTATAATCTTAGAAACTCAAGAAAGTTTTATTTGGCATAAAAAAACTTTTCATTGTAAGTTAGCTGCACTGCATTCCAACCTTATAGAAAAACCATATCAACTTCTGGCGATTTTTACTATTAAATTTATTTTTATATCCTTTAATTGCAATTTATCTCTTATTTGTTCTAATTATTAAATTAGCATAACCAGAATGCAAGTTTTCCATGTGACCTCCAAGTTCTCTGTTGATTACAATTTTGTAATGCTTCCTGACACTCATTAATTTCTTTTGCCAATGGTCTCATCAATTTGTCAAAGGCATCTGTAAAATTATTATTATCTATTTCTCTTTCATATAATACTAATGTCATATCCATTACCTTTTTATACTTAGAAAGTTTATCCCATTTTTTTCTATGGTATTGTGCTCTGCTGTTATTAAGGTATTTTGAGGATGAATAACATTCGAACATCCTTTATCATTAGACTCATCTGTTATAGTCATATTATATCTAACCCAAGGATTGTTTACTGGGTTGATTGTTGATACCATTACCTTATTCTTTTCAAATATAATTAAAGGATAGTCATGTCGGCAGTTTGTCTTCGCAAAAGTAGAACGAAAATTAGTGCCATCTTTTTTAACTACAAGATGCTTACAGAGGAGGTAACGGCTACGTAAATATGCAGAACATGAGCATATCCAGTTGCTAACATCAACATGATAAACCTCATCTATATCAGGCCAAATTTCTGCCCTTGCTGCTTTGTCCCAATCTTGTTTGAAGCCATCCCACCATGTTGGAAAAGTTCTATTATCATTATATTGGTCTAGCTTAAGCTCAGAATCAGGTACTAGTCGTTTTATAAGAATTTGGATAAGGCGATCAAGTCTTGGATGATTATAATTGTATTTGTAGCTATATTTAAGGACCTACCAATGGCTTTCTGTAATCATGGTAGTTCATGCTAATGGTAGAGTGGGTGAATATGCTGATCATGCAAAAAGTTTCCAGTCCTTTTTATTGTACCAATTTATCCACAGATAGCCCCAAAATTTATCAAGATTACGATTATGACAAAATAAGTAGGCCTCTTCTACATAATTATAATAAATATTAGCAGAATTCCAGAAGGTATTCTTGGCTATTGGTATGATAGGGTGCATATTTGCATGCTTTTTAATTATTTCTAAAAATTCTTTAATAAAATTTTTTGGACACAGAATTCCAGCATTAGTATTTGGTATCCAGGTTGGATCAATGAATTTAAATTGTTGATAAGCCTCTGCAGCTTTTATTTTAGTATATCCACTTGCTTTAAATTTTTTTTCTTTTACCTATCTATTTATAACATGTTCAAGATGCCAATGACACAACTGAATATTGGTGATCCATGACCATGCCTCGTATATTGCTGAAATTTCACTAGTGTCTTTGTCTACAAGAACAAATTTTGGAAGCAGACCAATTTGTTTAAGATTATTGAAGAACTCATACAATACTTGTACCCTTGTATTTATTCGATTTTTATAATCACTAAGTGCCAGTCCAGTACCATCAGATGTTAAAAGATAGAGGTATGCTAAGGGCATGCCATAACCATCATGATTGACATTTATGGCAAAAAGCTCAAAACGTTTCTGGTTCGTTTCAAATGTGGAATCTACTACGATTTCATTTACATTTTTAACACCAATATGACTAAGCAATGGAGTTATGAATCTAAGAGCCCTTATAAAATCATTTTCAAGATAATAAATTGTCTTGTATCCTTTTTCCCTGAATTTGAATTGTTCAATATATTCCTTTGCTAATAAAACCTGGTTTTCTTGATTCATAATATAAGTATCCTTGCTAAAAACAGATACCCAATAATATACTTGCTCTATAGTATGCACTCTAGAATCTATGTGCTCTCCATCGCATAGACGTCTATAGACTTTAGGATTTCGCATATTATATTTAATGTTTGCTTTTATTCATTCTTTTGCAATTGTAGGAAATTGAATTCTTTGGTAGTTTGGATTTGGATGTGTCTTTAAGTGTTGCCCATAAACTAAAATGCATTGTTTTTGAGAATTGATTATAAGTAAAACCTTTTCATCACATGTGTACCTATCTATTGGAGCTCATGCCTCACTTTTTCATCTTACTGGCTGGTTTTCAGGTCTTTGCCATTGGCGGTCCTCTCGTTATGCACACCCAATATATATTGTCGCACAGCCATTAAACTTCTTTTCACTATTATTCTGATATACTTTATGTATTTCACAGTAATAATTAGA